AGCTCTGAACATTCAAAACCAGTGGCAGATTTATGTATCTTCTCATGTTTAGACAGATGGAAGTGAGGAAGGCAAAATCTCTGATACTGTGTTTTATGCTTCAGTGAAATGATAAATTCACCCTATTAATTCTCAATATTTATTCCGAGACTACAGTGTATTTTTTTAAAAGACATAAATGCAGTATTATTCTTTGAGTAACAAAGTGCCCTTTGTCCCTTTGACAGGGTTGGCTTTGGTTTTTAAGCCTTGCTTAGAAAGATACCTTGTAGCTATGCTAATTAGAGCAGCTAAAATATTTTTTTGATGCATGTGTCACTGGGAATGTAGGTAAAAGTTATTCTCACATTACTGTTTTCTATCTTGCTGTTAGAAGATTATACATGTTTCTCTGTGAATAAAGAAGGATAACAACTTTAATGAGGGAAAACTTACTAAGCTCCCTGTTTGTAATTTTTCATATTCATTACTATATTTTAAAACACTTTTAAAAGCTTAATTGTCTGTGGTTTCCATGGCATTTGTGTGTGTATTCACAGATAAAATTTGAGTGGGTGCATCAGAACTGCAGATTCTTTCGTCAGATAGCTGGTTTTGGTTTTGAACAAGAGCTTAGTTTTTATCTTAATTGTCAAATGCACGTTTTTAGTCTTCGACTAGCATATTCAAGTACAAAATTATCTAATTAAATATTTATACTAATAATAATTCAAGAATTAAAATAAAAACTGTTATGCATTACTTTACGGTAATCTGAGATTTTTGACAGCTATTTACTAAGCTTTTTGTTTCCAAATGCAAGTTGTTCATGGAAAACATGTTTAATGACCATACAAATGGGTTCATGTCTTACTGGCTTTCAAAATTTTAATATGTGAAGAAAAAAAGAATCCTTAAGTGAGCTGCAATTTCATATAGAAAAAAGCTTTTGAAATAGAGTAGGACAAAGTTACAAATCTGTGGTTGCAAAGACAACAGATCTGCACTTCAATTAATATTCTTGTCAAATTCGCAGAGTGAATATAAAACTGCTGAATGAGGCACTTGTACATATTTTTATCCCCTTCTTCGGCTACTGACTTGGGTAATGAAGTGTAGATGTGGTTGTTACATGCCAGTTGGAAGGGAGCCAGAACAGAGATGTTGTTTGTACATGTGCAGATGTTGGCAGGATTCCCTGCACTCCTGTTGTCAAAAGATCTTTTTAGTGCCACAGAGTTATAAATATATCTGCGTTACAGTATGGCTTGCAGATACTCTACTAGTAATGTTCGGGATGTTCACTTTTTAATAAACCAAACTGCGTCTAGAATTTCTTGTGTGAAATGAAATTCAGTGTGTACAACACAGGAAGCATAATAGATGTGTTTTGAAGATCAGCGTACTATTGTGACTAACGCTGTACTTTCAAAATCAGTTTAATCCATCACATAAATCCCTGCTGCTGCTGGAAAGGAAAGGTCCTCTTAGCTCCTTTCCTCTCTCCTGCACCTGGCTATTCAGGCCTTCTCCCTTATTTTTGTCAGTACTAACATGATGCGGTGATGTGATGAGCTGGATCAGGTACTGATCCAATTGAACACCAGCCCAGCAAGTACCAGCTGCATTGCTTTCCTGATGACATGAAGGAGGGGATTGAAGTGAGTGTCCGTGACGGGTTGGGAGGGATGGACACCTTTGCTTCCAGTGGTAGTGTGGCCTTGGCTAGGTTCAGCTGTTTGTGGCTAAATTTGATTTGGAAAGGGAGGCAAGGGCATAAGTAGAGCAGGACTGGAATATAGGAAAGGAGAGGGGTGGAAAAGAAGAGCAGTGGGGTGGTCCAAAGTCATGCTTAATTACAAATATTTAGGCATCTTTGCTGTAGCAGTTGAATTGAATATATTGCATTGAGTGCTGACAAAATGCAGCAATACGAAAATACTATGCACAGTTGGTGTAATCAGTTAAACCTGTGTTTATCAGAAAATGTAATCAGGTAAATTTTCTCCAGTTTAAGGTATAAATTTGGGTTTATAAGGTATGGATAAAGCAGACTTACATGGGTACAGGACTGATAGGTACACACATTCGGACTTCCCCAATGCTAAGCTGCAAGGCTTTTTCCTGATAGATACAGGTAGGCAGTATTTTGAATTTTCCTGTATACCCCTTGATCATCCCACTTACTGGAATGAAAAAATTTTGCTTGGCCAGAGTTCTCTGGAGGTTATGCCTTAGCACCAACTCCTGCTTGCTTCTTTTTGAGTGAAATAACATGTTCCTTTTAAGTAACTAATTTTGTTTGATGGACAACAGCCATTTGCTTATTGGTTTGTTTTGATCCAGGGCTGAATGGAGTAATGATAAGTGTACATGAAATCTCATTTTGGTGGAGTTTATTGATGCCACAGGCATAAGTTTTCATTATATTGGTCTGCTTGTAGAATAAGTAAGGAACACTGAATTAGCACACGCTTCCTTTGTTGGAAGGTTATTTTGCTAACCACAAAAAAGCAAAAAAAAAACCCAGCCAACTTCTTAACTGTGGGAAGTACCACTTGACTTGCCCTGAACTAGTGGATATGTGCCCGTAATTACCGCCTTCATAAATTGCCCTGAAGCCTACAGATAAAAAACCTGAAGACTGGATAATGTCATTCTTATTGCACAGTAGATTCGGTTAGGGAGAGAGATTTAGTTTTGCTCAGTTATGTGGTGTTGCAGCTTGAAAGTGTCATACTGTTCTCAAAACCATCAAATTAGTTCTGTATCATCCTCAGGATTTTTCATTCTCAGGTTCACCTCTGTGGGTAGATCAGGTGATCAAAGTAGAATTGCAGACACTTAGGCACCCCAAAAACTTTGAAACGATTCTATTATTAATACGGGTCTGATGTCCTTTTGAAATTTTGTAACTAAAATTCCACTTTTGTAGTAAAATAACTTAGTAGATGGAAAGAATTCCTCCACAAGATCTTGTTTTTTACCTCTTGAAACTTGCAGCTGTTGTGAAATCCTACAAGTTCGATAGAACCAAGAGAAACTATTGTTGCAGTACTGAGCAAGTGTTCCTGTTTTACTTTTTCTTCCTGTGTGTTTATTAGCCGCATCTTTTAAAAGGTAGGGAAGGCAACTATAAGATTTTTTTCTGTTGGATATTGCTAGAGGATTCATTGATCCAATGACCTTTTGGGTCAGAGGCCAGTTGGTAGTCTTTTTAGTGACCCTGGGTTCCTGCCATGGGAGCATACATGGAAGACAACTAGTGAAATACGCAAGTTTTGTGAGTAAGGATTGGTGTGCGTATTGGTGACTTAAATTGTTATATAGACTGTTGTGATCTAAGCAAATCTATTTTGTTGTTTTCAGGGCTTTTTTAATACTAAATTTGGAGTCTTAGTGTGTGAATTGAATATAGCTTTAACTTTGCTGTTTGCATTTCAAGAGTAAGTATGAATTCTTGGGAGTAGATGTGGCTTGCTGTTCCTTGTGTATTACAGAGCTGCTAGTGTTTCTGGGCAACATCACTATTCCAGCCTTGGCTTAGCATCAGCTGATGCCTAGTGCTTAAGGTAAAATGATCAAAACTTTATCAAAGGAAGCACAGATATAGATAAAATTAAGAATTGTTGTAGGGGAGGTATGGGTTCTACGGCTGTGGTGATTGGGTATGTAAGCACTATAACTTTTCTAATTTTTTTTTTTTTTTTTTTTAAAGTGATATACATACACAGATGGGTGAGTGCTGGGCACCTCTTCACTGACCGGTCTTGTAGTTCAGATCTGTTCTACATTATGTGTTTCCTTCCAGTGTCTCTTTTCTCAATTTACCATAAATATTTTCTGCCATCATGGATTCCAGGAGGTTTAAAGCTTCCATCCAGACATAAACCTGCCATGCTGTTCAACCCAAGTGTTGTAAAAACCTTTGCTACATCATCATTGCAGAATTGATTATGAGTTGACATGATAGGAAGGTAGTGCAGAAGGAAGGAGCATAGGCACATACATAGTGGTATCTCTTAATTCTTAAAATTATTGTATGTTATGTTCTCAGAGTGCTAACTTCTATGCATTTGGGGCTTATTAATTTAAGAATTTAATTTTTATGGTTTCTTCCTGATGCATAGTATGGAGGATACCTTTTAAATGCTTACCTGTTCATACTGAAGTCTTAAGGCACATTCAGCACAACTGAAGTAGGAAAAATATGGTGCTGTGGTTTGGTGTTTGTTTTTTGGTTTGTTTTTTTTTTTTTTAATTGCTTGTATTATGTTATTACTATTCAGTCTTTTATGTTAACTTCCAAGAAAGCTACTATTGGAGACAGATTTTACTTTTGATAAAAATGTTATGTGGCTGTGTGTAATAAACACTCAAAATATGTATGTAGCAATTAATCAAGAGGTAGCTTCTTAAGGAGTACTACAGGCATAAGAAACCCTAAGTTTGCTTTTATACCTTAATCTGTTCTGTAATCCTTTCTGTGAGATTTTCAAGTGAGAGGATCCTCAAAGGAATCCAGTCAACAGGGAAAAATTTGAAGGGGGGAAGGGGGAGTGGAGAGAAAGAGGTTTCACTTTTTAAAGCTTTTTCCTTTAGGTTATTAAAATATTTTTTTTTACTTAAAAATATCAGATGCATAACTATCTTGGTGGGAAGTATACTTGCATTAGTACAACAGATGTGTATAAAACACCAATAGAAAAATACAGTTTGTGGAATTGTGCGTGTGTATGTGAATATATTTGTACGTGTGTATATATAGAGAGTACATGGAAAGGTAGAGAAAGATTGTATATTATTTCAGGTCCTCCAACGCTTCCTCTCTAGTTGTCCAGCAAGGCCTCTTGCTCACATAAACTTACTGTGTGTTGTTTTTTCTTTACCTTCAAAACTTAGAGGTATATGGAAACATAGCATTGATGGGTATTTACAGATCTCTCTTCTAAATTTTATTGAACAGCATTGTAAAATCTAAGGTGTTTTGTATTAATGAACATTTTAAAAAATCTTTTTATATGCAGAGTTTTCCATCCGATGAGGGTTGGCCATTCGCAAAGTACTTAGGAGCGTGTGGAAGAATGGTCGCTGTCAACTACGTTGGAGAAGAGCTGTGGAGTTACTTTAATGCACCATGGGAGAAACGAGTGGATCTGGCCTGGCAATTAATGGAAATAGCTGAGCAGCTGACAAATAATGACTTTGAATTTGCACTCTACCTCCTTGATGTCAGCTTTGACAACTTTGCAGTTGGACCGAGAGATGGGAAAGTTATCATTGTAGATGCAGAAAACGTTCTGGTAGCAGACAAAAGGTTAATCAGACAGAGTAAGTGTCTTCTTTCTTTCCCTTCCCCTCACCCCGTGTTTCTCGCTTCTTTCTCTACAAGCACAATATTTAAAGTGTGTGTACTTGGTAAATACCCATTTTGTTGGCTTTATAACTAGCCTACTAATTAACAAACCAATTAGGTTTCTTCTGCGATTAGGCTACTAATTAACTTGACCAATTTGTCAATTTTACGAAGCATGGAGTTTACCTGAACTTGATTTACATATACTTTTCATTTCTGTAATCCTGTTTAAGTGGAGAGCTGGGGATGGCAGGAGGGGTTTGGATGTTGAATGGGTTTGTACAGATGGATGGACAGATGGATGGATGGGCTGGCCAACTGACTTGTCTGCCTCAGCTAAAAGAGAGGTTCCTTTCGTCTTTTCCAGACATCTGTAAGGATGGAAGTCTTGGCATTCTGTTTTCTGTGAATGACAAGACAGTCTTCTGCCCACTTTGGCCTTAGTTACATAGCCTGCCTCTGGTTCAGTTGTTCAGGTTGCTGCTCTCTAATCATGGAACTGAAGGAATGGGTAATTTTAATGCTGTTTCCAAATGGGAATAGTGAAAATTTATTCATTTTTCTGTCAACTGTAAAAGCTCAGAGCAGTGGCAGCAGGAGAGATGTTTGACAAAGTGGCATTACATGGGTTTATATTCCTTTTGAGCTTATAAGGAAAACTTTGCAGACCCAAGGGCTAGAGACGTTTAACATGAATCCCTAGATTCTGCAGAAGTTCATGGCAATAGGCCAAGTGATGCCAGTTTGCTTTGAGTGAATGTATTTTTTTTTTTTTTAAGTTTTGCAAGTAGACTTCATATGCTGTGCTGCTGAATTAACTTTAAGACTACTTTTTCCATCTACACAGTTTTCTACAAGGAAGTATGTTTTTGGGTGTGGTTTTTTTGGTGGTGTGGGGTTTTGAGTTTTCTTGGTTTTTCTTTTATTAATTAGATTTATTATACATTGTCTAGGAGCTTAGATTAAAATCTGAGCCTACCCAGAAAACCTTGGCTATCCAGTACATTTACTTTTGTACTTATGGGCCACACAAATAAAGCTTTTTTTTTTTTTTTTTTTTTTCCCCCACCCTTTTAAAATAATATTACTTAAGACACTGACTTTTGGAGCATATCTGAATTGCTTGGTCACAAAGATTACTAAATGAACTCTGAAGAACTTGCTGTGTGCATGAAATAGCAGCAAGTAGCATGTTGCAGAAGCTGAATGCTGAAAGTGTCATGCTTACATCTGTTACGTATAATTCTCAGACTAATTTGGATCTAACTAGGATTTTGCTGGATGATTTGCAATCTAATAATTAATCAAGAACACAGAAAACAAATGAGGACACAAGAAATTTCTCAGTCTTTGTATAAACTTGACATTTAATACTGATTTCATTTATCTCCTGGAAAGTTTCATTAAGCAATCTCTGTCTAGAGTGATTAATATGCCTGTTTAGATATTTGAATATATACATTCTGTCCAATTGCACTGTACAGTAATATATAATTGTACTCTATGTGGGTTACCATAGTTGAGTTTGCTGAAGTCCTTTTTTACCAATCTCCTTTGCTAGCTTTCTTTCCATTTTGAGTTTGCTGTTCCTTGTACAAATTTTACATCGTATTTGTATGGTTTTAGCAGTCATCCTTCAGTAGACTTTTTTGTAGTCTCGCTTGCAGTGCACCATAAATGAGTAGACCCACAGTCAGCTCAGAGACTACCAAACACAGATAAATTTTATTTCGTACATCACAGTACTAAAAAAAGAGATCTGCACAACTATGAGCCTCCTTGATAAGGACCTCTTCTCAAAGCTGGCAGTAATCTAGAAACTTAAGATGAAAGTTTTTTAACAAAAAGTAGTAAGAACTCAGGAGATCTCACACTTGGTAACCTTTTACATATTATTGTATAAGGTATTTTCTGTAAATCAGGTTTTAAGTTAAAGAAAGCTTTGTGACAAGGCCACTAGTTACACCTTCAAATTTTTATAACTTTTTAAATATATATAAAGAAGGGTTTATACACGTATGTAAATGCCATTTTTTGTTCAATTTTTTCTTTCTTCAAAGATTGCATGTAATGCATCTGCTTTTTTTATACATGGTTCTTAGTTACTACCATGTCTACAGTAAGAGGTTGGATGTTTCAGACGTTTATGGCAATTACTGTGCAATGCTTTTTTTGTTCTTTGGTAGACCACTTGACCACTTGCCAGTGTTAGTTCCCAGGGCAACTGGAGAACCCAAATCTATGTTGCTAAAATAAATCATGTTGCTTGTTTGTTTTTCTCTGAACTTCAGCTGTGAATCATTCTCTTGTACTTCTTTGTGCTACATTTTTTCCTCTGGGTATGTGTGTGAATGTGGATTTCATGTCTTTAGTGTGCTGGTTTTTTTCTGCTTTGCTCTCCTTGCTATCTATTTTACCCTCTTTCTTTCCCTTATTTTTTGTATAGCTGGGACCATTTCAGCAGAAAAGTATATGAAACTGTCAGATACAACCTTAGACTAGAACGTTTAAGAGTTCATCTAAACAAAGTTGGTTTATAGTTTAAATACTTCATTTGCTGTGTATTGACCTTCTGATTGTATTCAGATGCACATATGCTCTTTCCTCCTCTCTCACTTTTTTCTTTTTTTTTCTTTTTTTTTATTTTATTGTCTCCTTACATTTCACAGATAAACCTGAAAACTGGGATGTATGGTATGAAAGCAAATTTGATGACTGTGATAAAGAAGCTTGTCTGTCCTTCTCAAAAGAGATTCTTTGTGCTCGTGTCACTGTGGACCACAATTATTATGCTATTTGTCAGAACCTTTTATCAAGACATGCCACATGGCGTGGCACTTCTGGAGGACTACTTCATGACCCCCCAGCTGAAATTGCCAAAGATGGCCGGCTCGAGGCCTTGCTGGATGAGTGTGCCAACCCAAAGAAGCGATATGGTAGATTCCAAGCTGCAAAAGAACTGCGTGAATACCTTGCACAATTGAGTAACAACGTGAGGTAGTCCACAGTGAAAACTTTCTGGAACACTGGCTAAAACACTATTGCAAAGACACATAGAAACTGAAGTTTTGAACTTATGTATTAAAAAGAGAAAATAAACAAACAAAAAAAAAGAAACTAGTTTATCAGTTTTCTAAATACCATAAAAATACAACTTTATGGTGTTACCATGTTCCTTTGCAAACAGACAAGGTACTTACTGAATTAAAACTTGAGCTACTATTGACTCTCCTCCCTAACTATGTAAAAGGGAGTAAGTCAAAAAAGACTGTGATAGCGTAATTGACAGCTTGTGTGTCAAAGGGTACTTTACATAAAACTCCATTAGTGTCACAGTTTTGTGAAGCTGATGTTCTTACTTGGAAAGTCAAGTTAGACTGATGGCCTGTTTTAAAGGCCTTTTTCCTGACATCATTGTCTCATTTTTGTGTTTGTTTAAACACCTTGAAGTGGCATTTACATCCAGGTAAATCTTGCTGTCTGCATTGTTTCAAATTTAGCGGGCTTTCATGTTAATGCTGTGCAGTACATTTCTACTGTGAGTGCAGGATTCCCATGTTTACTGTCTAATTTTAGGGGGTTTTACACTGTATTTTGCTATTTAGACATTGTGGTTTCTTTTTTTTTTTAGATCAGCATAAACTCAAATGTCATTTGAAGTAATATTCATTTGATGTCTTTTATAGTTCTGCCATTGGAAATATCACTTAATGTAACTATTGTACAAAACCTTTACCCTTCATCACAGTATATATACATGACTGTTTAGCAGGAAATCATGGTATGAGCAAACTCTTATTTTTAACGGAGATAATTTGAGAATTGGAGAGAGACTACAATAAACAGATCTGTATGAATTTAAATTGGGGATAGAAGCTTGACTAAGAATAAAAATTCACTAGTCTGGTGTAGTTGAGCATAAACCAAAGAAAATGGTTTTGTTTATTAGTTTCTAAACAAATAATAAAGAAAAAACACTATACCGTAGTGAAGCTAATAATTCTCAAAATTCAAATTTCGGTGGTCCTTGGTTGCTTTTTTAAGAACTTCTAAAACTATGTGCTTATGCTACAGGAGAGTCCTAATTTGAATAACAACGTCTAGAAAGTTAGCAGTTTGTTTTACATCATTCCCAATTCTGTTGAATTCAAGTGTAATGGAGTTTACTGAATATTCATCTTTTGGTTTACCAGCTAAATTGATTAAGCTGTATTCACTCTAGATGCCTTTTCTTGAACTAAGTTTGACTATTCCCAGTGCAATTGACTTGTTGAGGTTTGCATAAATCTGGAGTTGTTCTGATAAATTACAGTTTTTATAAAAACCTCAGTTACTGCTACAAGAACTCACTTCAAAGCTTGCTCCTCCTTTTTTTTTTTTTTTAACAGTTACTATAATGCTTCATTTTCCTGAAGTATTATTCATAAAAAGATACTCTTAGGAAATGTATGCATATTACTTCTTGTACCAGTAATGAAGACAACTAATATGTCTTAAACGTGTGTATAAAACAATATTTCATACAAGCTAAAAAGAATTCTGAGCAAGGTAGCAGGTTCTGTTTTCAAGAGCAAAGTTAGTATGCCTCTCATACTGCATCAAAAGACTGATGGAAACTGTTGCTTTACCAAATTGCTGCAAGAGCAAGGTGAGGAAAATGGCAAACTCACTGACTGGCCCTTCTTTCTCAAAGCTCAAAAAGTGGAGCTATATAAAGATGCAGAGTGCTTTTTGATTTCTTTGATGATTTATATTAAGGATATTTTAGAATTCGAAATTCTCACTTTAATCATCTTAGTCATCTTTGCCTATGTAGTCCTAATTTGCTCCCAATCCCTTGTCTTGTTTTCTGAAGTCAGAATGCCCAATGAAGCTTTCAATTTTCATTTCTCCCCTCCCCTCGTTTGAAAATGGTTTTACTTGCTTGCTGTGGCACAAGCTGTCAGAGAAGGTTCATGTTATTTTTCATCATAAAATCCACTTTTTTGAAGAAAATAGACTAACCCTCAGACTAGGTAATACTACCCTACCATAAAAGCCTTGACTTGTCACTAAAGTTGATTTTTAACCATCTACCACATTTCCCAATGAGTGAGTGGAGTATGATTGTTCAAGTTGTAAAAGAAACAAACACTGCCAGTTCTGGTTAGTACTTGAGGCAGTTCAGTAGCTGTCACAATGTCCTATCAGATTTGGTTTGGGATTTAGCTCCCTCAGAAGTAAGTTTCTAAAAGAATTTGGAACTTTAAAAAAAAAAAAAAATATAATCAAACACTACAGGGAAAACATTATGGAGAGCAATAAATCTTGTTCCGTTTGCACCTATCAGATATTTATTGTACAATAACAATTTATATTTTTAGTCATTGCCCATTATTATTGATGAACATGGTGAAATATTTTTGAATGAGATGTTTGGGGTTTGTATGTGCATTACAATTGTCCTTTTGTACTGTAAGTTACTGTTTGATTGGAATATTTTATCAAAACTGTCTCCCTGTGCCTTTATATTACAAGAAAGTTGTTTCTGCAACTTCTAATGATATTAATAAAGAATACTTTAAGAACCTCATCTCAGATACTCATTTTCAGATCAGTAAGTCTTTTGAGATTGGCTTAGTATAGGATGCATTAAAATATGCATAGAACGAGTTTTCGTAGTGTTGGAGAATCCACCATCGTCAGGTGACAGATAGGAACTTTATTTTCCCCTCCTTTCTCATAGACTGCTCGATCCAAAGTACGAATGATCTGTCAGGAATCTTTTTTGGTTTAGAGATCATCGTAAGTAGGACTCATTTTCTTAAAAACAACTTGATCAAGCCGTGTCTGTCTGTTCTGTTGACTGAAAGAAAATACTTTCAAATTAAGCAGGTTGCTAGCTTCTCTCTTTATTGTTTGAGAAACTTATATTTCCTTGCATTTAGAATAATTTATATTGCTAGTACGGCTGTGTCTTCAGTACAGTATTGTAGCAGTTAATGTAATATAAATACATATTGACTTTCGCTGTTTCTCCTTTACTCTGGATTTTTCAGTGAGCATTTGCATTTGAAATTGTCCTGCAGTTGTACTAGAGCATGTATTCCCTTCTGACTTTCTGAACCTGTGTAGATAATAGGAACGACTTGTCTAAAAAACACTTGGATTTTTTTATTTTAGTTGCACTCCTGCTGCCTCAGCTTACATCTCTGGGAACTGCAGACATGCAGACTGAAACTTGTACACTTTCCGGTGTGCCTCAGATGTCAAGATCATTGCGATCTTAAGAAAAAAAAAAACCCAAACAAAAACTAGCATGAATAACTACTGCATCTTTTCTTTCAGCAGTTTCCAGAGTATGGCATAGTCTGATCCTGGTTGCCTTGAACTTCAAGACATGGTGTATCTGGTGCTTTCCTACCAGGTTTTCCTTACATATATTAGAGTGGAGACCATGGCTACCTTTAAAAGGAATGAAAATGTTTTGGTTTTCTACAGGCAGTCTAATGTTTGTGTAGAAGCTAGCAAGGGTGCTTTCATGGATTCCTGTTTTTCCATACGATGGCTGAATTCAGCACTGACTTCAGCTCTTTTGTTAGTTATGTGTTGTTTGAAACCTGTAATTTGGAGATTAGGATAGATTGTACTGTGAAACCTCTGTAAAACGCATGTGTCTGGTGAGTATCAGAGAAATGTTCCATTAGGGAAGTATATTTCTCAATTCGAAGATTTGGTGTGCTCAAACCGCTTTTAAGTTCACCAAGGTTTATTTCTATCTCGCAGTCTTCCCAAGCCTTTAAAAATCCAGTCCATCAAATGGAAACTTCATTACTGTTGATTTCACCTACTTTTTCTTGTTGAATTTGCAATGTACAGACCTGCTAACTTATTTGATAGCCTTCATCTGACTAGTTCACTCATTACTAGCATTGTTATTATTTCTGCTTTAAATGTCTGCCAGTTTTTTGTTTTCTTGTTTCCAGATCATGTTCAAAGATGTATAACTAGTTTAAATAGACCTTTATCTCCTTCTAGTTTCATTTTAGGGTGTTTTAAAGAAATTTTTCCTATGCTGATTTGTCTTTTTTTTTTTTTTTATGTGTCTCTCCAGATCTGACAAGTGTCGGTTTGCCTGGGGTACTTCTAAGCCTCAAATTCTTTTTCTATTTCATCCTGAGTTTTATGAACACATTTCACTATTCTTCCAGGCAAAAGTCTTTGGTGGTCAGACTTGTACTGTGCGCTACACTAATGAGCTTTTGCTAGATGCAGAAAGGCCCTGTGGCTGCTAGATGTCTTTGTAGAGAGTGCGTGCGATCTTAGGGCAATGAAGAGTCTGTTGTTTTGGCAGCAGAGGAGTTTGTTGTTGCCACACTGGAAGTATGAGGGTATACCTGTTTTGTGTGGTTCAAAAGCAAGACAAATTTAAGGAGCATTAGGAATGAACGTTTGCCACGAATACTGACTTGCATGTTCAGGTCAGAGCAGGAAAGTTTTGACTTTAAAAGAAAAAATATCTAAGGCTGTTTTTTTTATATTTGGCGGATTAACTCCAGTCTTCAGAGAACAGAAATGTGAAAGCAGAATATACTTCAAAGCAAAATAGACTGTTTAATATACAGCTTGTGTTCAGATAGAAAAAAGAGCATTTTTTTTTTTTAGGTCAGAGTTTCAAATAGCTTGTCTATTAGTCAAAGAATTTTAACACACATCTTTCTATTCTGAACATGATGCTTTTGTATATGCTTAGCTTTTACTACAGATTCTAGCTTTTGATATTATTAATAGGGGCTTAGTGCATCCATTTAATGTGCCCTTGGTATAGCTACAGATTCCCTAATAGATGCCCTGTAGCTTTTTTAAAGGAATGGGGTTTTCAAAATTTAGTCATTTTTATTTTGTGCCTTTTTTTTTCCTCCAAAAATAATTCTGAAACTCCTCAGAACAGTTGAACAGCTGATTTCATTGCTTTCAACCGTTGTGCAGTTGAATTTTTACTTTAAAGTTCTGGTCGTCTTTGGTTGTTCAGGC